CAGCGTCCCCTCCTTCCAAAGCCTGCTCCAGAGACACCTCATTTCCCTCTGCTCACACCCACAGAATGGTTATTGCAAAGGAAAGAACACCAATACATACAAAACATAGGGCACAAACAACAGGGTAAGTTAGTTTAAATAAAAGAATAAACATTATGTTTAACATCTACATTACATACAATCACACATATTCATTCTCCAACACAACACACTTTATGCATGACACCACAATCAAATGACCGTCCGGACTTAGAATGATTGCCAAACTATGTCGGGTTGTGCACTCGTGGTGGCTTCTACTGCTTTGCAAAGCTGCCAATGGGTTTCACCCTACCACACTCACGAGGTTAGTCTGTACCGGACCTTGGAGCATATTGGTAGCCTCCAAGACTAAGACCTCCTGCTACTCCTCACGACATGGTTCAATCCTCTCTACGTGAGAATGAAAGACCATTGGAGTTTCATGACAACCCCCATGACTGAGCTCCTGCATTCATTCTAAACATACTTGAATCTCACTAAGAGATTCTACTTTGGAACTTTACTTTCACCAGTTTGAAACATAACTCATGACATAATCAATCGCATACCATAATACATATTCATACATGCTTCACAATGGATTCCCAAAACTTCATTTAAATCAAACTAGAACAAGGAATTAAAGAGTAACTAAAACCTGAACCAGTTGCTCATCGCACACCCTCGCTGAGTGACCACAGAGGTTCCTCGCACAGTGACCCAGCTCGCTGTGCAAATAAACTCCCAGTGGTACGAGACCTTAAACTCGTGCTCAACGACATCACTGGCTAAGCGAAACTCACCAGACAATGGACCAGGCTCTCAACTCACTCGCTCAATGCACTCATTCGCTATTCTAATAAAACTGACAGTGCTCCCAGACCTCAACTAGCCGCTTAGCACACCCTCGCGCTGTGCGAATCAGTAAACAATGAGCCTGTCACCAAGACCACTCGCTGAGCGACTCCACTCGCTCAGCGAGTCTGCATAATCTGCAGCACCAAATCTGCAGAATTACGCCCCCTACACCAAATTTACCAATTCAAACTATTTTTCCCAACTTCTAACCCTCTGAGATTGTGTTATATACTTAATTATACTTATCTAAGGTTGTCTAAACATCTCTAACCTAATTCTAAACATGTAGACTCAAAATCTCACCCAAAAATTTTCAAAAAAAATCAATGTAGAGACTCAAATTGAATTCTACCATTTGTGACACAATTCCAAGCAACTTAGGGACTTTAAGAAGTCCCAAATGACTTACCAAGAGTCTCCATATTGACTAATTGCACACATAATACCAAACTCAAGTTTTCACTACTTCACTTCCTCTAAATTGAGTTCTAACACAAATAGAACTCTACCTCATTACTAACACACTCTACTAACTCAATCCTCTAACAATCCATATGTTAAACAAAATCCAAAACAGTTCATAGATAACCTCAATTCCACCAACTCAGTTTAATAATCCTTTTTCACCTTTTTACTATCTTAAACCTCCATTTTTTACCAAACCACCAGTAACCAAGATTTCTCTTCTATTATAACAGTCCAATTTATACAATTCAAGTTCATTCACATCAACTCTAACATCAAAAACATACATACAACATTTTTCACACATGAGTAGCATCCTTAAATCAACAAAGCATGCAGTTCACTAAATTACTACTCATACCAAGTCGCATTTTCCAACTCAGTTCTCTATTTTATACCAATCAGTTTTTCACATAGAATAAGTTAGTTTATGCTTCTTTTATTTAGTTTTCAGTTTAAGACACATGCAAAGAGTATCTCTCTCATGTGTCATGCAAACTCTCTTGTTAGTTTTTTGTTGATCAGTAGTCCTAACAACATACCCTAATCATGATTTCGTTGTTTGTAGTCACAATTAGTGTTCTTTGATCTATGGGAGCTGTTTGGGATTTTTTAGGATCGTTCAGTTATCTAATAAATAAGGGAAACTAATATTGTCCTTGATTTCCGTTTATGATGCATGAGTTTATGTTTGCTATGTTGTGAGGAATAATGTTATGTTGATTTGGTTATAATTGAAATGGTTGTTTTATTGTTATTTGTGTTTTGATGAGTGTGCTTGATTATTTGATGCATGATGACATTGATGATTTTGATTTGGACTTGAATGAGCTTGTGAATGTCGCTGTTATGAAATATAAATAGCATAAAATTGATGTAGTATTAAGAAGTAGAGAGTAGGCTGAGTTATAGGTTGGTTTTTGGTCTAAAAATGAGGTTTTGGTGAGTGAGAAGTTAAGGTAATGATCAAATGGAAAAATTGTGTTTTTGAGTTTGTTTTTATGATCATTTGAAACTTGTTTAAGCTTTGAGTTAAGTGAAATCTAATGTAGATCTGGTTGGTAGTTGATAGGTTGAGTTTGTATGACCTGTCATAACTCGATATCAATACTTGCATCCGGATTTGTTAAGTCTAGAACATGTATATATGCTTAGGTTATTGTTTGATTTTAAACTAAAATATGTTATATACTGAATTATAATTGCATGATTTGATTCTTTTACAATATTAGTTTACCCTTGTTGTTTTTGTTTGTTTGTGTGTTTTTATTACTTTTGCAATGATAAGTTTAATGGTATGTGTTTAGCGGATTATACCAAGAATGAACAAGTGCTAAGAAATAATGGAGCTAAAGAGTAGAATAAGAAGTTTAGTTTCAAAAATATATTGTTAATGTAAAGACCTTATTATATTTTTTTTGGTAAGGATAAAAAAATTTGTTTTTGGATGTTACAACATGTGCTATGTAATTAACATAATTATTTATAAATACATAATAAATATTTATATTATAGATTGAATTATTAACATTATAATTATATAAAAAGAATAACACGTAGTAAAGATGGAAAAATGTTACTATAATTTTTTTTTTGTAGTGAGAAAAAAAAATATTTGATAGGTCATATGAATTTATCATATGATAGAAGTGAACTGAACTTTTATTATATAACTTTGTTGTATTAATAATTTAATAATGAAGATAATATGACATGTACAAATATTTAAGTCTAATTTAACGTATTTATCTTTTAACATTAGAATCAAATGTTTGCAATGTGTGATATGTTAATTACTTATAATATGTGAGGTAATTAATAAATTATGAATTAAACATTTAATTTATGTTAAATTCTTAATAAATTAATTAGAATTATATTTCTTAAAATTTATGAATAAGATAATAATCTAATTTGTGTGATTTAATATATATATATATATATATATATATATATATATTAATTTTAAAAAAAAAACTCTACCTTATTCTATTTAACATAATTATATTTTTTTATCTATTTTGTTTATCAAATGATCATGTGTTATACAAAACATATAATATTATAGAAAAACCATCTAAATATGAACTAAAAATAGAAAAAATAAATTATACATAATTATTATTTTTTTCTTAAAAATATGTATATGTATATATTTTTTTATTTATAATAGAGAGGAAAATTTTATTTTGATAAATTTTAAGAATATATATATAATCTAATTTATAGAAACACGTAAATTAGTGTGTATGTGTCCACATATTTGAAAAAAATAATTACTTTATAAAAAACCAACACGTAAATTATTAAAAATACAAAGTAGTTATTACAATCTTATATTGTAATAAAAGATAAAATAGTAGAAAAAGTTATGTACGCGAAAGAATACATATATATAAAATCTGGTTAGTCACTTTAACAGGATATTCTTCTATGATAGATCTAATAGATCAATAGCTAGGTTTCACATGTTAGAATATGTCCTATTGAAAAACCAAAGTGAAAATTTGGGTCACATTTTCAACAAACCAAGAGGTTAATGATAACTTTACCATCTTAACAATTTTTTTATATATAAAGTACATATATAAAAGAATAATTTCCAATGTTAACTATACTGGTTTATTTTCAATTTATTTATATTTATTATACTCTGTACCATTTAAGCTATTTTCAGTGCTGCACTAGTTGATTCCAACTTTCATTTACAGTTATTATTTTTTCTAACATTAACTTTTTTCCGAGTGATGTATCAGTTCTTCTAACTATTATTTATAATTATTCATGTTTCTAGCATTTATTTTGTTCTCAGTTACTTTAATACATCAAATCATATTAAACATTGTTAAATAGATATTAAACATATTTTCTCATATACTATTTTTAAATAAACACTTAAAAGCAATTATTGTGATCTTCCCAGCTTGGACTTAGGCACATAATGATTTGAAAACACCACTCCATGAGAAAGATAGGCAATAGTTTGCAGCCCCCGTGAGCAATTGCAGCTCTAAAACACGACCCAGTTATTATGTCTATACATTATGTTTTTCATGAACAATGATGTCTGTGACAACTCAAGGAATCTATCTATCTTTGCAACCTCGTAGTTTGCTATCTAGAATCATATTCATTCTTATATTGTTATTTCTAACTTTGATTCTGGAGAGAAAAATAAGAAAAATAAGATTTGTGTGGTTAGTGTATGTTTTTTCTAATGATAGTAAACTGTATCTTAAAACTCAATAAACATATTTTTAAGTGCTTGATTTCTTTATTTTTGGACAACTATAACTTCTTCGATTAAAAAGTTACAAATCAGGATTTAAATATTTTATTAATGAAATCAATACTTTTTTTTTTGTGTCGACTAGCATTTAGCAAATATTTGGCAGCTCCATCTTCTATTATTATTGTCCGGGGAAAAGTTAACAATTAAATTTTATTTCTATAAACGTGTTAAACTTTACTTTTTGTCTTTCTTAATATTAAACATAAACTTTACTTCTGTCATTATAAATAATTACATTAATTTAAATTTTCTCTCAATTATTCTTAAATTTATATCTTTTTCCATAGACAAATTACATGTCCATTAATTAGGGGAAAAATGACCAAAACATGTATATACTATGTTTCCTTGACCAAGTGAAGGGTTGTAGCTTATGACTATCTATAAGATGCAGTATATGTACATGAAATAGCTCTATCCTATGTGAAACCAAAATTTAAACTTGATACATCATCCCAACTTCAAGAGATGATGCATGAGGCACACCAGTGACAAAGGAGGGTGACCTGCTATTTCTTCTTAGGAATTCATACACTATATTAATGGCTATTTTTTTCACCATGCTAGACCCTGGTTTTGCTCTCAAGTGTGTCTGTCCTATAATGTAAGCTACCCCACCTTCCCTTGCTTCCATAACCTCCTCCAACTCTTTCTTTGCATCTGTGTTAATCTTTGGACTCTCAGGTACCAAAAACCTTACCCTTTTCTTCTGCTGCTTTATAACATTTGGTGACTTTATCTCCTTCAGTTCTGATGGCCCTGCATTCTCTACATTCTCAACATTCTCTACATTGTCCTCACTCATCAAAAGGGAATGAGTAGAACAAGTTCCAACAACTGCCATTCTGTCATCCTTTCCAGGCTCATCATTTGAAGAGTTCAATCCGGTTTTTTCTGTGCGAATGAACTCTGCTATGCTGCACAAAAGATCATTCTCAAACTCAACATCATCTTTGTGGACATCACGGTATCCATATCGCACTATGCACCGGTAGAGTCTGAACTCTTTTGGACCAACGCGGCCAACCAGAAACCGTTCATCAGGTCTAACATGTGGAACTGGCACGTGTTTGATGCAGAGGAAAACTAGGACTTCATGGAAGGCTGGGAGGTTGGTTACAAAGTGGGAGAAGATTACTGGAATTCCAGAAACTAGCTCGGTGTGTATAAGGCCAACCCCACGCACTCTGACTATGCCTATGCTGGGACCTAGGCCGAGAAGCCAGTTGATGGAAACCTTGTTTTGAACATCATATTCATACTTTTTTAGTGTGCCGTAGTGCCAGACATACATGAAAGTCAGAAATACAAGAGCCAACGCTATAGGCACCCATGCTCCTTGCAGGAACTTGATAAGAGAAGCAGAGAAGAAGAGAGCCTCAATGGTGCCAAATACGAAAACAAACCCAAGTGCAAGGAGGACATTTTGGTGCCAGCATAGAACAATAACCAGTGACATCAAACAGGTGGTCACCAGCATCACTGTGATTACTGCCAAACCTGTTGTGCAAAGTAAAGTGTGTCATATAATTGTCAGAAAAAGCACATACCGTTAACACACCTCTCCCCCTTCCCAGTTATTATCTTAAAAAGAGAACTAAATGTCTGCTTGCATACCAAAGTTAACTTCTGAGTTGCATTATTCCCCAGAAAAACTACAATTGCATCTTAGAAATGAATGTTTTTTATGCTTCTAGTTCCATATCATATTGCTGCAAAATTAATGTATAGATGAATAGCAATCAGTGTCATACCTGAGGCATTACCCAGGCGCTTTGTGTCTCTGAAACAAACAGTTACTGCCAAGCACAATATCATCAATATCCAATTGACCTCAGGGATATATATTTGCCCATGAATTTTTGATGATGTGTGAATCACTTTCACTCTCGGGAAACAACTTAATGCAGAGCACTGCTTGATGATTGAGAATGTTCCAGTGATAATGGCTTGACTACCAACAACTGCAGCTAGTATGGCTATAACCAGAACAGGCCATCTCAATTTCTCTGGAAAGCAAAAGAATGAAAACGGTCAAATAGCTGAGACTTCCCCCATCATCTACTTTCTCCAGCAAAAAGAATGAATTACACCACCTACCTGGTACAGATACGTAAAACCCAAAGTGATAATCTTGCTCAATGTCATGATGTTTAGATAGATAAGCAGCTTGCCCCATATATGCAAGAATTAAAGATGGATAAACCACAGATGTAAAAGCAATCTGCAGAAGAGATGGTAAATAAATAAGCATTAACAAAAGCTATTGAGCTGCATAAATAACACTGACAAGAGTTATACTATGTTTAGTTCATTAATCTTAGTGGGAAGAGAGGTTAAGACTTGTCAAGGAACATAAATTACAATTTAAAGTNAAACATTGTTAAATAGATATTAAACATATTTTCTCATATACTATTTTTAAATAAACACTTAAAAGCAATTATTGTGATCTTCCCAGCTTGGACTTAGGCACATAATGATTTGAAAACACCACTCCATGAGAAAGATAGGCAATAGTTTGCAGCCCCCGTGAGCAATTGCAGCTCTAAAACACGACCCAGTTATTATGTCTATACATTATGTTTTTCATGAACAATGATGTCTGTGACAACTCAAGGAATCTATCTTTGCAACCTCGTAGTTTGCTGTCTAGAATCATATTCATTCTTATATTGTTATTTCTAACTTTGATTCTGGAGAGAAAAATAAGAAAAATAAGATTTGTGTGGTTAGTGTATGTTTTTTCTAATGATAGTAAACTGTATCTTAAAACTCAATAAACATATTTTTAAGTGCTTGATTTCTTTATTTTTGGACAACTATAACTTCTTCGATTAAAAAGTTACAAATCAGGATTTAAATATTTTATTAATGAAATCAATACTTTTTTTTTTGTGTCGACTAGCATTTAGCAAATATTTGGCAGCTCCATCTTCTATTATTATTGTCCGGGGAAAAGTTAACAATTAAATTTTATTTCTATAAACGTGTTAAACTTTACTTTTTGTCTTTCTTAATATTAAACATAAACTTTACTTCTGTCATTATAAATAATTACATTAATTTAAATTTTCTCTCAATTATTCTTAAATTTATATCTTTTTCCATAGACAAATTACATGTCCATTAATTAGGGGAAAAATGACCAAAACATGTATACTATGTTTCCTTGACCAAGTGAAGGGTTGTAGCTTATGACTATCTATAAGATGCAGTATATGTACATGAAATAGCTCTATCCTATGTGAAACCAAAATTTAAACTTGATACATCATCCCAACTTCAAGAGATGATGCATGAGGCACACCAGTGACAAAGGAGGGTGACCTGCTATTTCTTCTTAGGAATTCATACACTATATTAATGGCTATTTTTTTCACCATGCTAGACCCTGGTTTTGCTCTCAAGTGTGTCTGTCCTATAATGTAAGCTACCCCACCTTCCCTTGCTTCCATAACCTCCTCCAACTCTTTCTTTGCATCTGTGTTAATCTTTGGACTCTCAGGTACCAAAAACCTTACCCTTTTCTTCTGCTGCTTTATAACATTTGGTGACTTTATCTCCTTCAGTTCTGATGGCCCTGCATTCTCTACATTCTCAACATTCTCTACATTGTCCTCACTCATCAAAAGGGAATGAGTAGAACAAGTTCCAACAACTGCCATTCTGTCATCCTTTCCAGGCTCATCATTTGAAGAGCTCAATCCGGTTTTTTCTGTGCGAATGAACTCTGCTATGCTGCACAAAAGATCATTCTCAAACTCAACATCATCTTTGTGGACATCACGGTATCCATATCGCACTATGCACCGGTAGAGTCTGAACTCTTTTGGACCAACGCGGCCAACCAGAAACCGTTCATCAGGTCTAACATGTGGAACTGGCACGTGTTTGATGCAGAGGAAAACTAGGACTTCATGGAAGGCTGGGAGGTTGGTTACAAAGTGGGAGAAGATTACTGGAATTCCAGAAACTAGCTCGGTGTGTATAAGGCCAACCCCACGCACTCTGACTATGCCTATGCTGGGACCTAGGCCGAGAAGCCAGTTGATGGAAACCTTGTTTTGAACATCATATTCATACTTTTTTAGTGTGCCGTAGTGCCAGACATACATGAAAGTCAGAAATACAAGAGCCAACGCTATAGGCACCCATGCTCCTTGCAGGAACTTGATAAGAGAAGCAGAGAAGAAGAGAGCCTCAATGGTGCCAAATACGAAAACAAACCCAAGTGCAAGGAGGACATTTTGGTGCCAGCATAGAACAATAACCAGTGACATCAAACAGGTGGTCACCAGCATCACTGTGATTACTGCCAAACCTGTTGTGCAAAGTAAAGTGTGCCATATAATTGTCAGAAAAAGCACATACCGTTAACACACCTCTCCCCCTTCCCAGTTATTATCTTAAAAAGAGAACTAAATGTCTGCTTGCATACCAAAGTTAACTTCTGAGTTGCATTATTCCCCAGAAAAACTACAATTGCATCTTAGAAATGAATGTTTTTTATGCTTCTAGTTCCATATCATATTGCTGCAAAATTAATGTATAGATGAATAGCAATCAGTGTCATACCTGAGGCATTACCCAGGCGCTTTGTGTCTCTGAAACAAACAGTTACTGCCAAGCACAATATCATCAATAACCAATTGACCTCAGGGATATATATTTGCCCATGAATTTTTGATGATGTGTGAATCACTTTCACTCTCGGGAAACAACTTAATGCAGAGCACTGCTTGATGATTGAGAATGTTCCAGTGATAATGGCTTGACTACCAACAACTGCAGCTAGTATGGCTATAACCAGAACAGGCCATCTCAATTTCTCTGGAAAGCAAAAGAATGAAAACGGTCAAATAGCTGAGACTTCCCCCATCATCTACTTTCTCCAGCAAAAAGAATGAATTACACCACCTACCTGGTACAGATACGTAAAACCCAAAGTGATAATCTTGCTCAATGTCATGATGTTTAGATAGATAAGCAGCTTGCCCCATATATGCAAGAATTAAAGATGGATAAACCACAGATGTAAAAGCAATCTGCAGAAGAGATGGTAAATAAATAAGCATTAACAAAAGCTATTGAGCTGCATAAATAACACTGACAAGAGTTATACTATGTTTAGTTCATTAATCTTAGTGGGAAGAGAGGTTAAGACTTGTCAAGGAACATAAATTACAATTTAAAGTGAACCAGTCATGATAAAAGACCCAACAAAAGCAAAACTTGAAGATGTCACATTGCTAAGTCTACTACTGTATCATGTTTACAGTATACGGTGTATAATATTAGGTAGATCCGTTATCATACAGCAAACAAAAACCAAATAAATTACCATACCTTGATTGATAATTGGCTAAAGTGCCCAAGATCAGCAAACATGGCTTCTGCTCCTGCAAAAGTGCAATTGAAATGGTATTAATATTGACAACAAACTGATGTGTAAAATATAAGTTAATCATCAAGTAGACCAACCGACCTGTGATGCACAGTAAAATTCCACCAAGGGCCATCCAACCTCCCTTTTGAGTTTTCCTCAAGAGTTGGAAAGCATAATATGGAGAGAGTGCTTTGTATACATGGGGATTCCAGTGAAATATATTGTATATTCCAATGGTACTAATGCAGAAAAGCCACACAATAATTACAGGAGCAAACAAGAAGCCAACTCTGTGCGTGCCATAATGCTGAAGAGCAAACAACCCTATCAATATGATGCATGAAGCTGGAACTTCAACATCTGCCAGGCATCAAGTTTAAAACTTCATATCAGCAAGGAATGTTCCGCAGTTCTCACATAATATAGAAGAGTGATATCAAAATTTAAGTAAAAATAAAAAAAACAAATGATGGGCAAACAAAAATTAAAGCACATTGGACCAGCAACTAATTTTCTGCCTTTTATTCTCTAATTCTCAAGAATCAAACTCCAATCTGTAAAAAAATAAAGATAAAAGTTGGTAATGGCCATCCAAGTTTAAAGAAGTCCTGTCACTTGATAACAGCTATAAGACAAGCAATTTCCCCTCATCAGATAAAGGGCACATTTGTTTGGGATTTATTATATATTCTTAATTAAAATTATAAAATAATAAAAATCATTATAATTATGAAATATTTTGAAAAATAGAGTGTTGCTTAAAAGCCAAAAATAATAGCATATGAAGAAGAGCCTGTAACAAGGTTACATCATATAATCACATTTTATTTTAAAGCTTAAACAGATAGGATAAGAAATCACACAATGCCGAATCGACAAAAACACAAGAATAGGCTAGCTAAAACATTTGTATTTCACTCGTAATTTTAACAATAACTGATTATTAATCACAACCGATAACATTGAAATAACTGTTTTCACTGTAGCCACAGTATAGCTGGTTATTGCCGCAGAGTTAGGCTCATGAAGCACAACTGATGTTAGGATCCCCAAAAATACTCTGTTGAAATAAAAATTTATGAGTAAACACAACCCAAATTTCAATTATCGCCAGAATTGAGTGAGACCAGTATGGAAAGTGTCAAATTCAGAAGATACAGCACAGTATTTAACAGTCCACCCAATCTATCAAACAGGTTGCTTAAGTCACATGTTAAATGCAATCCCTAAAGCATTCTCTGTGATTGTGAGTCTTCACGTGTGACTCATGAAGATTCTTACCAAATATAGGACACCCTAAAAATGCACAGACAAATGCAACAACATGACTTGTACTTAATGCACAGTTCCTCACAAGAAGAGTATTGAGTATAAACTACTAAGCAACACCCACAAAGCGGAGAAAATATAACATACACAACTAAAGAGAGAAACTTTTAGTGATGTAAGATTATTGGAGAAAACAGAACTTTTTTCATGGAATAAAACATGCTCAGGTCAACAGGAATCTCCTTTAGATCAATTGGTAACAAAATTATGCATGAAGCTTCCAATTATGACCAGTATCCAACTTCTAAACAAACTAATAAATAATTAGGCACACAAAAAATCAAACTGAACTTACATGCGTGCGTCTCCTTGGACATTGAAAGCTCCAATCCAGAAACAGCCGAGAAAACTGCAAGCATTCATCCAAATAATCCAACTCAGTTCCCCAATAAAATCCGAAAGTCAAAGAACAAAACTTACATACAGTCCCCGATGTACTTTTACCACTGTTCACTAATCAAGATCAAAGTTTCACCTGGAAAACCTATGTCCATCTTTCATTCAAACATATATTACGCGAATTATCAAGATGAAACTTCAACTCTAACACAAGAACCACACCAAAAACACACAAAAAAACTGCATCTAAGTTTTCTCCAAA